TCTTCCGATCTGTATAAATTTCATGCTTTAACGACTACAAACCCTCGTAGCAGTTCAAGCATAAAATTTATACGCCAAACGACAACTTCGAACGCCAAATCTTAATTTACTGCTTTGGTATAAATACGCGACTAGTGGTTAATTTGCTTTCTTAAATCATTGATAAAGTGCACAAGTTTAATAATTGTTTAATATATTTCAAAACTGGTGTAAAAGCTGTTATAATAGAGTTGTAATATTATAAAACACTTTCTTAGCGGTTTGACGTTTGCCGTAAACGTCAAGCTAAAGGTCTCTAAAGGTTTCTAACGGCAATAGATCTTATGCATGATAGACTTGCCCCAAGTCTTGCTCGAATGGGTTTTGATAGGGTTTATCCAGTTTATTATGAGATTAGTTTTGAACTTTGCTCCTACCTCGCTCTCACTTCAAGCGAGGTAGGAGCGAAGATTGGGAACCTGGGTACGAGGTTGCAGAAAAGCGGCGCCCAAGCTCTTTACAAGGCCCTTTTAGCTGTTTAACTATTGTCATTTATTCAGATATATAGATTATAAAGCACAACTTTGTACGCAAGAATAGTCCTCGGTATAATAAGTTCAGTAAGATTTTTGATCAATCAATCTTACAGTTTGGTCTTTTGTTGGGAATGAGAACAAAAAACCCACTTAAAACAACTCTGTTAATTTCCATTTATTGAACTCCAGAATATTACAATAATTCACTAAGATTTATATTCTTATTAACATAACACTAAGATTCATATTCTTAAGAAAACACTATTTCTTTACGCTGTTTCACATTTACAGGAAGATATTTCAGCGCTGGAAATCTAAACTTAGAATAATAATACACAAGCAGAATGCTTTATCTTTAAGCTAGTATTCAAATTAACATTGATGAAAATAAAGTCAATAGTCAAAACAAATAGCTACTATTTCTAAAAGATGTCTACTACCAGTAAATATTATATAACCATACTTTACAATTATTTTGTTCATGTGACAAAGCCCCCCCCCCCCAGCAAAAACGAGAACTCTTACAATCGTGATGTGTTAGGAAACCATTAAAATCAATTTACTTAATCTTATTTGGCACTATACGTGCAA